AGGCACATTAAAGTGGCAGGTGGGTCTGATGACGCAGCCCCTGTGAGGACAGAGACAGGCAGAGGAGGCATTGGCTCGGGTAAAGAGAAGCGCAAAGCGTTCAGCTTTTCCTCACCGCTCCGATGGACAAAAGCTGGTCTCAGAACCATGGCGGGGTTCAAACCAACCCATCACCTTTGTGCTCAGCATGGTGTCCATGCAGACAGCCAAAGCAAAGCAGTCTGCAGCTGGTAGGTGCTGATGTGTCTTAGGGCACCATGTCGGGCAGTGGGCCAAGGGTATGCCCCCCACGTTGCTGCCGACCCGATGAAGGACCCTGAACAAGTGCTGGCTCCATGCCTCAGTTTCCCCATCTGTAACGTGATGATGTTGAGGTCTCCACACAAAAGCGGACCCATTGTACTCACTTTCCCAGCTGCAGATTCCCTGCTTTGGTATTTCTTGCCGGAACTGGTGTTTCCGTGGAGTACATGAACATCTTTCTCAGAGGATCTTGATCCATGTGATTGTTATGCATGCAGGATTTTGTGGCCTGAAGCCAGGGGAGCCCCAAACATCCACTGAGAAGAGCAGCCAGAGTTTTACACAGGGGACAGGTGAATCTTGGAGGAAAGTATCAGCTTGTCACCAGTGCACCAGCTGACACATCCAAGAGCAATACATCTTAAGCTACTGAACACGGGTGTCCTGAACCCACCACACCTCCTTGCTCATCCTTCAGTATAGGAGCTGTGCTCCAGACTCCAAAACCCACTAACATCCACCAAAACCAGCACTTGAAGCCACACAACATTCTTTAATTTATTTCATGGCTGATGCCAATCAGCGCCAGCTCTGCCCCTTGGTTAAATCAGAGACCACACTGAATGGTGCCTTCTAGTATTCTTCACAGGACTGCCACCGGCTCTGTCCTGCACGGGAACAGACCCCAGCATCCTGCAGGAGGGACCTCTGGTCATCCGTGATGTCCCATTTCCAGCAGCCCTTTCTAAACACCAAAGCAACACGCATTCAGGACCTTGTCAGGTTGGATTCCAAGGAAAGAATAATCACCTCTGGTTTGGACATCTTCTGACTGCACAGTCAAAAAGCACGCAGAAAAACTGTCTTCCGGGAGTTTCAATTCAATGCTCGTTCTCGATTCTTGGAGCCAAATCAGTTCCTGAGAATAAGTCAGGGAGAAAATCCCTGCTGCTGCTGAAGGTCCCTCTCCAAGGACCTCACATCATCAGACCCACCTCCCAAGCCCCACCAGCTTGCTTCGCACAGAGCAAAGCGAGATGATGGAAAACTATCTGCAAACCAACTCTGACTGGGGATCGCACTGGGAAACTGCCACAGGTGAGCTTTGCTGGGCAAGTGGGGCAGTGACTGTCATTTCTGCGGGGTGCACTGGAGCTGGGCTCAAGCCAGTTAAACCTGAACAGCTGCCCAGAAGGCTCAGGCAAGGAGCCAGCCACGAGCTCTGCACACCACAGCTGATAACACCGCAGCCTGCAAGCAAATCGGGGGAAAAGCAGTGGGTTTGGCAACAACTGTGTTTTCCAGAAGCATTAAATAATGCACTTGTGCAGGGAGATCAGGGTCCTTGCAGAGCAGGAAAGATAACACAAGGCAGAAGAGGAACCACTTGAACTCTCATCCCCGTTCCTTCCTTCGCAGCCCAGTGTCCCACCAGCCAGCTCACCTCCATTCAAAAGAACTGGGAGTTTTTCTCCATGGGGGACTAAATCTGGTGCTCAAAGCCTCCCCAAGAAGGAGGCTCAGCTTGACCTGGTCGGTGGACGTCACAAAGGAGTTTGAAAACAAACAGCTTGAGTTGCGGGGCTGGAGAATGAGAGATAAGGCATCCTTGAAGCAACAGCAAGGCAAAACTCAAGGCGGCAGATGCCATCTCAGAGGAGCGGGCTGCAATGGGAAGCACCACTGAGGGACAGCTGTACGGGACCAGATGGGGATTCTGGGATACCATCAGACGGGCTACAAAGGAGCCACCAAACAAAAATGAGGAGCACAAGGATGGGGAAGAAATAAATAAAAAACGACCAGCAATCCTCTTTCACCGAGATGCAAGATCTGCACTGAGCCCAGGGCGGTACTGGGAGAACAGGGCAGAGAAGCGAAGGATGTGCTGGGCACTGGGAGCCAGGGCATCAGTGGAGAAACCAGGACCGCTCTGTTCAGTTGCGGGGAAACCAAGAGACAGCTACACCGCTGACAGCTCTTTCCTTCCTCGGGAGGAAGGCCATTGCGGGGCAGAGGCAGTGGGCACCGTCCAACCCAAACTGTATTTGACCTGTGAAAAGTGCATCTTTACAAGCGCAACCTGCCCTTGCTCAAGGAGAAAGCTGCTTATGCAATAACATCCTGTGACCACTTTGGGGGAGGAACAGAGGAGAATAAATTATTTGATTGTGAAATATTCCCTCTTGATTTCCAAAAAAAGCAGCGCTTTCCCTCCAAACACAAAGCCAGTCTAATTGTTTCTCTACTGAGGTCAACGGACCTACTCGCCATGCTTCTCTCACAAAGTAATAACCTTGTTGTTCTTTTTTATCCATTTCCCTTACCACACTGGTAAAATCGACTGCATATTCATTTCATTTCTTGACTACCTTGTCCTAGTGCCTCCCAACAGCAGCAGCCCGGGAGGCCCAGCCAGCCCGAGCTCCAGAGCATCAGCCTTCCTGCCTGCATCACCTTATCCCACCACCCCATGGTTAAGACCAGCTGGGACAAGCTCACACGGTGCTGTGGTCCCCAGAAGTGAACTTTGCCTCTCCTGTCATCAGTTGGTTTTTTTTTTTCCCCTCTTCCCCCTCTCCCCTTTGCTTGGTGAGGATTATCTTTTGCAATGGCACCAGCCCATGGGATGACACCCAGGTCCTTGTGACAGTACTTGCTGCAGAGCTCCCCGTCTCCCGCATCAGCACTTTTCTGGCTGCAGAAAGGAGGTACCGCAGCACTCGCTGCACAAGAGCCGGGAGGACAGCTTGTCCCAGCGCATTAGCGTGAGAGATGACGGTGAGGCTGCTGCTACCCATTTTGTCTGGCTTATTAACAGAGGATTTTAAAAAACACTGCTTCTGGCTGTAGAATCCCCCAGGACTGGCCCATCGCTCAACCATCCCCAAAGCTCTGTTGGCCTCGTTGTGTGCTCAGGGGGAACACCTCAGACCATCTGCTGCCCAGAGCTGATACCATCACACTGTCTGCCACGGCCCAAGGGGCAACGAGCTACCTGTAAGCAGGAGTTACTCCAGCTCCCAAGTAACCCAGACTGTGGGCATCTCCACACCCTTCCTACACAGCAATCCAGCATGGGCAGTGTCATTGAAAGCCCCAGGATCCTTATGCAGAGATGGCAAAGGGTCACAAAAGGAACGTGCTGCTGCTGAACTCTGTGCAGACAGTGTCCTGGAAAGGCACAGAGCCACCCTGGCTCAACCGTGAAGGCAAAGACATTTCTCAGAGGAACCCAAGACTTTCAGAGTTAAACTGGGTATGGAGAACGTATGGTATGGTCATCCCCCCCTCACAGACGATTCTTCAAACTTCTTCATTTGCTGCTGCAATCACAGTTTTCAAACTGGAGTCAAGGTTAAAAAGCCCTGGCTCTTAGTCTCAGGATCCTCACGCTAAGACCTCAGACAACACCTTTTTTCTCCACTCCACCACCAGACGAGGCTGGTGGGAGATGATCACAGATGTGTCCACCGAGCTCCTATAACCCTCCTCACCTGATGGTCAAGGTCACCGGCTCAGGGGATCCATTCACACTGAACCTGAATTCTTCTGTGAACTGCCCCAGAATGGTGGAACTGAAGGAGATCTGGATGACATGGAGCCCGTCTGGCAAAATGCTGCCCTCCTGGGGGAGAAACGTGAAGCAGGAGCCTAGAGCCGTAGCTGGAGGGACCAAGTTGAAGCAAGCATCGATGGCTCCTTTGTTAAACAGAATTGCCTGCAGCAGCAAGAAAGGAAAATGGAAACGTGTCAGGAATCTCCCTTTCTTACAGAAGACTGATTTGTTTTCTAATTAAACAATGAACATCTGTAAAAGGCAGAAGATGCTGTGTGCTGCTGCTTGGCAGAAGCCAAAGAAAATACAACAGGGCAAGTTCTGCCTTTGGGTTTTTTTCATGCAAAGCAGTGATAACTTCACGTAAACAGAGTCACTCTGGGTTTATTCCACTGACACTGAGCAGTCCCCTTGGACTTGCAGTGCAGAGGACCTGCTCAGCATCACTGAGTTGATTCAGACCCATCCCCAAGCGCAAAGCTGGGAGTCTGCAGCATTACCAGTGAATCCTCAACTACTGCTTCTGCTCCGCATGAGCCGGATCCTGTCGAGGGCAGAACACCGTCAGCTTCCATTGCAGCCAACAAGTTCACTGCACACAGTAGAGGACACCTCAGGCCAGCACTACAACCAGCTTCAGAAGCACTCCCCAGCTCTGCTATGGTATATACTTAAGGTTTATTCTATTTTTCTCTTTAATCTGCTAGTTTCTTCATCTTTGCTCAACCAGAAATGTCAGGAATGGGTGAGTATGGTGCACAGGGGCTCCACCTATTCTAAAGAAATTATCTTTCATAAATACTCACAGCCACCACCTCAGATTTTACTGTTATTACTCTAAAAATGTAAACTTAGAACAAAGCTACATTTTGTCAAACACTCGAGCGATCTACTGCCTTCAACAGGCGACGCAATCCCACAGCATCTGTCGAGACTCAGCTCTTACATTGGTCGAGCAACGCCAGTGCCTGTCTGTGAGCCCCAGCACACTGTCAGCCGCCAGCAGACCTACTCGAAGCAAAGCTGTGAAGTTTCTCGTTGCTGCAGGGTGAAATCCTGCCATTTCCACAGAATTGCCTATCTGCTTTGGATTCCTTTGCCTTAATTTTTGGCCCTGCAAAACCTGACAGGAAACCTGCGATGGAAGCACAGAGACGTCCCTCCTTTAATTTTGTAGCCGCTGCTGAGAATACTCACCTATTCAAACTGCGCGATAGTAACTTGAAAACTACTCTCCCCTCTCCTGCGTTTTGCACTTTGGTTACAAACTACACTTCGGGATCCTACGCTGCGCTGAGGTTTACCTCCCGTCTAGCTGCTTAGGACAGCATTACCAGCATCATCTGCTTATCTGCATTTTCTGAAGTAATCAAAGTAAGAAATTGATATAAATGGAATCAATAAAGTATCAGCATTAAAAATGCAAAGAGAACACAATATTTCAGTAAGAAAACACCTTAACGTGTCCTTCCCTGCCACAGTCGAGATTTTGAAAGTGTCTGGCATGACGTATCGCCTCATTTTCTACCTCTTCCAGCTGCTCTATCCTATTTTTTTTGCAGAAAACTCGACACCATTGTGGAGAGGCAAATACATAGAGAATTCCTTTGCTTCATTTCCAGAAATGCTTTGCTCTTATAGAGCCAGGGATGCACCAGATCTGAAGTGTGGCGAGAGACTGGTCAGCAAGCGGAAGCGCTCCCAGCTTCTTTGCTAGGGACTGCTCCAGGCCGGGGGGCTGGATGGCGTTCCTCTGGCTCCCAGGAATCGGTAGGATGCACTTAACTGAGAACTGTTTGCAATGGACCGGAGTTCAAAGATGGTAAATGTATTCCAGCTGCTTCTTAACAGTCAGACTACAAAGGCGCATTGCATCTAGGACCAAAAGAAAAGCCTCCGAATACTTCTCTTTTCGAGCCAGTGTTACTCTGCCCTGGTGAGAGTCCCATCTGCAGTGCTGTGTCCAGTTCTGGGCTCCCCAGTTCAAGAAAGATGAGGAGCTACTGGAGAGAGTCCAGTGGAGGGCTACGACGATGAGGAGGGGCCTGGAGCATCTCCCCTACGAGGAGAGGCTGAGGGTGCTGGGCTTGTTCAGCCTGGAGAAGAGAAGGCTGAGAGGGTGTGGCAGCACACCACAATAAGTTACAGCAGTCACAAAGCAAGCAAAAGCCAGCAGAAGCAGCAGCAGAAGCACTTTAATGGTTAATCATAACATTTTTATATCCCCTTGTCCCCCACCCACAGAGTCTCATTGGTGAGGGTCTTTTGGCATGTAGCTCCTTTGTTCTTCTGACTGGTCATCACGTGTCTGTACACACGACCTTCACGCTTATCGAAGAGTTGGATTTTCCCATCCTTTTTCTTCGTTCCTTTCCTCCCGTTTTTCAAGCACACGTGCACAAAATAATTAGCTCATAGATATGGCTCTGCTCCATCAAGACCATCAAGGCTGCCCGTGGTCCAGCCGATTCCCCCAAGAGGGGACCTTAGAAATGCCTACAAATATCTGCAGGGTGGGTGTCAGGAGGACAGGGCCAGACTCTTTTCAGTGGTGTCCAGAGACAGGACAAGGGGCAACAGACACAAACTGAAGCAGAGGAAGTTCCGCCTGAACACGAGGAAGAACTTCTTCCCTCTGAGGGTGACGGAGCACTGGACCAGGCTGCCCAGGGAGGCTGTGGAGTCTACTCCTCTGGAGATATTCAAGACCCACCTGGACACGGTCCTGTGCAGCCTGCTCTGGGTGACCCTGCTTCGGCACGGGGGTTGGACTAGATGACCCACAGAAGTCCCTTCCAACCCCTACCATGCTGGGATTCTGTGATTCTGTCAAGCAGGGTTTTTTGTTATTATTTTGTAATTATTTTTTATGTAACCTCCCAGCTATTCTCAAAAGGAGGTTGCCAAAAGGCAGGGTTTAGGGCTTCAGGAGCAACATCCACAGCTTTCAGACCCCAAAAGCATCCAGATTCTGTCACACACCCTCCCCCAGATTTGACTATTACGTCAAATATTCCCTTGCTCCCAGCTGCTCGCGTTGCCGCATGTCCCGCAGGTCCCCGGGGCTGCCTGCTGTCCCCGGAGCCATCGGGATCCCCCCCCAGCCCCTGCTACTCACCTCGTAGCTGTGGGCCAATCCCGCAAACACCGTCCCAATGTCCAGCTGGTGAAAGCCGAAGTGGAGCTGAGGCCCAATGCCTTCCGCTTTGATGCACAGGGGCAGCCTGGTATCACGGCCTGGGGAGAGATTTCCATTTCAGTACAGTAATTCCCACTGTTATCCTGGATTTTCCAGGCTGCCTCAGTACTAATCCCCGACTCCAGGCTGGAAGGGACCAGCTCGAGATGCTCCAGAAGACACAGGACCCTTCTCTTCCCTCAGGAGATACATCCTTCGGCCAGCTTCTAATTTTTAACCAACCCTCCGGGCTGCTTTCCATTTTACCGATCAGTTTGCACCCTGAAAAAGTGATGCCGAGTTTAAAACCCCATCTCTGAGTTTCTTCCCGTGCACTTCAATGAGCTTTGAAATCAGTTCAGTGAAGGCGCAAAGCTCACAAAACAGAACTGGAGATGACAATACGCTGTCTATACCGACACAACTGAGACGACAGCACAAGAGTGGAGTAGTACAAACTCAAGAAAGGGGAAGCAAGGCTTACAGCCAAACTCTAAGGTGCTAAATTTCTTCCATGAGGCTGCTAACGATGGAGCGCAGGATCTGCCAGCCTGAAGGCTGTTCTGAACTACCGGAGCAGCCCAAAGCACCCCAATCCTTGATCCAATTTCGGCTCGGGTCTTGCTGCCATCTCATTCTACTCTGCCCAGAAAGCAAGCAGCACAAGCTGGAGAGCCCCAAAAGTTGTATATAACCTTCACTGGAGCTTTTGTGCAACAATATTCCTCTTTCCTCCCAGCTCCTCTTGTGCAACGCTCACTGGCTCTTACAGATTAGGGATTGAAGGTTGCTTTTTAAAGTCATCTACAGTTATTCAAGAGCGTCCAAATGGACTTTGTATTGGAAAGAGCAGCCCAGGTGTGACACCACCACGACTAGATCACAACTCGAAACCAACCTCTCCTGGAACAGCCTTTTCAATGAGTACTGACTTGTTGATGTTGCACCCACAGGATGAGGAGGTTTGATCCAGAAAGGAAGAGCTAGGGAGCTTTTGTTGAATTCCACGTGTTCTAAGTGTTTTTAGGTGTTAAGATCCAGCCAAAGCCCAGCTGATGCAGTGATGAGGGTTATGCTTCATGGCTCCAGCATTAATTGCAGGGCTGTGTATTTCCATTTCACAGATATTATAACAGAGGGAATATTGGGCACTCACCGTCAGAAGGTATCTCCATCTTGCATCACGTGTAGCCTAATTATCATTAAAAACTTTAGCTCTACACCATCAAAACTCTTAGAAATGGCAAAGATTTAAGCTACAAGCTTTTGCTCATGATCATGCTGAGACATGTCCCATGGCCACCGGGATTGAAAAATCAGCGGCAGTTCTTCCTCTTCTGCAGTAAGTCCTCAACCTCTCCTCAAGGTCCATGGAAAACATCCTTTCTTCTACTCTGCTTTGATCCTGGAACTTTAGGAAATCCCAGAAATTTTGTTCTTCCTCCTTCCAGGTGAACCTCAGAACTGGCTTTGCCCAAAGGACAAGCAGCAGACTGAACTAAAGGTGACATGCAGGAGAGGCGAGAGGAAATAGGAGAGAACATGTCCTCCTCTTAGCTAGGAGCTGGGGCTTTCAGGGGCATCCAGCCTTTGCCCAAGGCCTGGGTTCAGGTGGGCTGCAGCCCTGTGATGCTCCCACCAGAAACATGCTCCTGCACCACACAGACCAAGGGCATGGAGAGGCTACTATCCACACCTTGTACCGTGGAGTGAGAATTCAGATCTCAGGAGGAATAACACCTCGTTACGTCACGCAGGGCATACAATTTGGCATTGCTGCCCTGCTTTCAAATAAACAGGGGTGTAGGTGGCCCAACAGCACAGTCCTTTGTTGATGTGTGATCCTCATTTGGGATTTTGCATCTCCCTGAAAAAGTGGCTTAGAAATGGGTTTTGGAAGAGATCAGATGTAACCCAATACACTTCCATATTCAGAAAAAACAACAACAACAACAAAAGAATTTTAGGTGTCTGAGCACCCCACCGCATGCTTCCTTCTGCCATTCAAGAGCCACGACTTACTTTGCACGAATAACTAAGTTCATTTTGAGCTTAAATATTTGCCAAGAGCACATTTCAAACCACTTCTTCACTGCCAGCTCTGGAAGTTGCCCAGTGCTGATCAGCTGTGTGGATCGCCAGATCCAGAAGCATCCGCTAAGCCATTTCTGGAGGCGCCTGCAACAGAAGCGGAGGCCAGCGAAGCCCCCCTCCAGTGGGGTGGGAGGTCCAGCTGCACAACCCACAGCGCTGCACTGGGGCAAAGCTTCTGAGCACTCCCAGCAAGGGGCACGCACCGTCCCCAAATCATCCACCGAAGGGATCTGTGACTGGCATACACACACATGAGGAAGGCAACCACGCTTCTCAGAGGAACCAAGAAGCAAAGTCAATTGACTCCCTAGTTCAAGATGGCTGCTGTCGTCTTCAACCTCTTTTGCACCCAGGGACCTTGACACTGGGACAGTTTCCACCCTGATGATGCCGTGGATCAGCTCTGTTTCATAAGGGATGAGTGCGTCATTTAAATGACCACCTTGAGGTCCTCTTCCAAGGAGCCAGTGGAAAAGTTCAGTTCTCCCGAGGGCCCATCGTAGTCTTTCAAGAGCAGGGTCCTCTTTCTAAACACCGATCATTTGCCCAGCACTGTTTCCTACAGCTCCCAGACCAGCTCAAGGGTTGCATGCAAGTAGTTTTTCTATTTCTCTGCAATGCAAAAGCTCTCCTGGTACAAATCCTGGACATCTCTGCAGCAAAGTGACCAACACCCTCATCGCCAGAGCAAAAAGCCCAGAGCCAGGAGTGCAGCACTGAGTGAGGAATCCCTTGGGAGCAACTCGTTAAATCAATCCTTCCCTTCCACCGCCCTAACAACTGCAGCTGGTGGGCAGGAAGACAGTTTGTTAACACAAGCCCTGTGTAATTACTGTAGGTGGCATTTGCCGAGTAAACCCTGTGCTATTACTGTATAAATATAAATCTGTTTCATGACATCTGCATCCGTCAGCTTGGAGCAGTAAGGAAAGCAAGAAAGCAGCTGGGTTGGTGATTGCAGCACCCTCCAGAATGGGAGCCCGGCTGCTGGAGGACCACAAGCCTCATGCCTTTTCCTCTTAGATGGAGGAAAACCATCATGTTCCCTGGATGGACACCTGACAGCCATCTCCCACTCTCGAAAAACACCTCCAGCAGCACCAGGCAGAGACGCAGAGCAAGGAGAAGGTAACCCAAACCACGCAGCTCGCTGCAAGCATCCCCTGCCCCGTGCTAGCACAGCAAAGCGATCACCTCAGTAAGGGTAAAGACGGTGTAACTCAGGTGGGTCAAGGATAACTGCTCCCAGAAAGAGACCTGACAGCACTTCCGTAGGACAGGATGAGCAGACAGCTTGTCTAGCAGACTGCTCGGCCTCTGATTCCCAGGGCGGCTGTTCACCCTGCTGAGTGCAGTAAGCCCTGTACAATGCTACCCAGAGGCACCACGGACTCGGAGCCACAAGGTGACAACTCCCACCGTGCAGGGAGAGCTGTGGGTGCTGGCCAAGATGGTCCTTTCGCAGAGCCCAGCCACCCAAGGTCTGGCAGCATCTGGGCAGCAAGAGGTGGCCCAGGGTCCGCGAGCACATCTGGAGCTGAGCTCCTACTGCCTCAGGACTCTGATGACACACCCACATAATAAAGACTCATCTTGGAGGTAAATGGTCTATAGGGGCTCAGCGCTCATTCACTAAAGCTCTTCTGCTGTGTAGCTGTTTGGCCTTTAAAGACACCTCACAGCACAGTAAACGCTGGCAAACCCACAGCTCAAAAAAATTATCCTTTCACTGCTTTGGTTGTTCTGGGATCAGCAATCTAGAGCCCCACATGCCGAGCCCTGGCCTGGAGACCCACTGGAAACCGCAGGGACAGTGGGCACGTGCCAGCACTGCCCTGCTGACCACCGACCCTCCTGAGGAATTACCCAAGAACCGAGCGGGCTGGGTCAGTTTGTGCCTCGCCTGGGGAGCAGGATAAAGGAGCTGTCCCTGAGATGTCGCAGTAGACTGTTTGTTGATAGACTCTGGCCTCTCGGGGTTTGAAGATCACATTAATTTCAACCGAAGAATTTGGCCAGACATCTCCCTCCTAAAACAGAGACAGCAAACCATTTATCTTCAGACACAAAGATTTCTTCTTTTCAACCACAGCCATGTAGCCTTTATTAGAGCATCAGTGAAAAGCAAGGAGCAAGCAACACTTTTCAACAAAATTTATTAGAGTTTGGAAGCAGCTGCAAAGAAGCTTTCCAAGTCCCTTACCTTCACCAGCATCTGGTAGAGACATTTTGTTAAATTAGGGCTATAATGAAGCAACCCAACTGGCTCACACTCCAGTGAACCAAGGGGGATTTCTTCAGAGGTACCAACCAGCCTAAGGGGAGGTAGCTCTCTCCTGCAGACCCTCCCTTACATCCCTGTATCGCTATGGCTACGGGAGTGCTTTTACTCAGGATCAAAAGAAAGTCAGTAAATCAAATGGATTTTTCCATTCTTAGTTACGATGGTGCTGCCTCTCCTACCCTTCACCTATATCCCTACGTACATTGATAACGTACTCAGTGAGCTGGGTCACCCAGCGCCCGGCAGAATGAGCCCTTCACCCCAGGGATCAGCGCAGAACAGGCTCCTTCCCTCCAACGGCTGCTCCTGCCCCGCGCTGTGCGCAGCCAGCCAGCACACAGGCTCTTCCAGCTGACGGACGATCCCAGAACAGCATTGAGAGTCGGATGCATCCGTTTCCCTGAACACAGGCTCAAACAAGGAAAGATGGGATTTGCTTACAGTTCCACACCCCTCTCAGCCAACAAGCTCTTTTCCTCATCACGCTCTTGCTCAGGGATTTCAGTCTGGGCCACGCTACCAGTGTGTTTGCAACCGTATGCTGCTTCTACAGGGTCTTCTCTCCCAGCGAGTCCTGACGCTGGTGCTCAGTCCCCAGGAGCCTCGTTGCACACTTTCAGAGGCTTCCCTGGCTTGTAAAGGCTCTCGCTATGACATGGCAAGTTATTAGGCTTCAGCTACAAATAATTCCCCAATGCACAGTCTGATCAGAGTCACCAGAACGGAGGGAAGGACAGGCGAGGAAAACCGTTTCAAACACCAACAAACCATCATCACCAGAATGCTAAGAAAAGGCAAGTCAGAAAGAATAAATCCACTTGGATTCCTCTCAAAACACAGAGCGAACATTTCCCAGATCAGACGTACTTCGTGTTCCTATGCAGCAAGCAACTGAATGAAGCTGAAGCCTTATTATAGGGCAACAAGCTTGCTTGAGGAAGGAAAGTGGGGACATCAGCCAGCGACCCACAGTCAACGTACCAGATACCAGAGCCTTTGGGTCCCACAGCAATGCTGCATGGACTGAGCACCCACAGAGTTAGCTTGGATTCGCAGGAATAAAAGCACTCAGGGTGCTCGAACAATGTCAGCTCTGCCACAACGCCTGGAGCTTGCCTAAGCCGAGCCACCAAGAAAAAAACCACTCAGATGATTGATTTCCCTGGCTCAGCTAATTAGAGTCTAATAACTCACCAGTGCTCATCACCCAGCTGCTCGCTGTGTGTTTCACAGCCTGAATTCTGTGGTCCACCCCCCAGGCGGGCTGTCCCTGGGGAGGGGGGGATGCACTAGGCAGCTGCGTGAGCGTGCTGCGAGCCCACCGGCCATAGCTGCGCACACACCTCAGATCAGCATCGCTCCGTGCTCCTCCTCGCAGAGGGCTGCATAACCCGAGCTGCCCAGCAGGCCACTGGTTGTCCAGCTGCTGCGGTCCTCTGCCCTCACTCGGTTCCTGCACAGTGGACAGTGCCCTGCCACGCTTACCAGCACCATCAGCGACACTGACACTCACGGAATCCCAGCATGGTAGGGGTTGGCAGGGACCTCTGGGGGCCACCCAGTCCAAACCCCCTGCCGAAGCAGGGTCACCCAGAGCAGGCTGCACAG